ATGGGGAATGGGAGTTTTCTCCACCGGTGCTCGTTTCTGCTGCCTCTTCCCTGGAAACCTGGAACGTGCGCTGCTGGTTTTCCTGGGACCCTCTTCCTTCCGGCCAGGGAGGCCACCCACCCTCCGGAGCCCCACGGAACGCATGTCCTCCGATTTCAGGAGAGACCCTGAGGCCCACAGGGTGGGGTCGGGGCCAGAGCAGGCGTCCCTGCGTGCAGGAACACACGTGTCTGTGTCTTCACAGGGAAGACACAGATGTGGTTGTGGGGAGGCGCTGCTGTGCGTCTGTGGTTGCCTCTTTTCTTTAGTCGTCAGAATTCCAGAGGCTTCTCAGAGTGTGACTGTTGACGCTTTCTCTTCATGGTCATACTCATCATGAGGGTATTTCTGTAAGAATTTGTGGTTAGGTTATATTAGTTTTATAAACACATTGTAAAATAAGCAACGTCAAATGAATCTCAGAAAACATATGTTTTCCCAACCCATTTGCAAGATTCAAATTTATGATTGGATGTCTTAGTTATATGTTTCATTTCTTCCTCCAGGAGATTGGAAAGGAAGACGCTGACTCAGAAAACGCAGGAGCTGGTGAACATACAGCCGGGTTTGAAGATGATTTTGAAGTAGGTGTAATTAAAAATTAAAATTATTCTATTGTTAGCATTAAAAGTGTTCTCATCTTAAAGATAATTTGTTCTAAAGCTAGAAACTTAACAGTTTTTCTCTCTCTTTTTATTGCTCTTAACACTCCGTATCTGACTTAGGTCTGTTACCTACGCGTCTACCAATGCTGACCAATGTGATGTGATTAAATGACTTAAGTTTACCCTGTTGTTGGTGCTCCCCAATCAAACTTGTGTGTGCGTGCACGCCGGGACGTGTGTGTACGTGTGTGTGTACATGTGTTATACGTGTGTGCGTGTGCATGCCTGGACGTGTGTGTACGTGTGTATAGGTGTGTGTGTACACCTGTGTGCGTGTATATCTGCGTGGAGCACGAAGTACACGTGTCTACATGCACATACATGCACATTCCCCGCACTGAAGCGTTTGCACATGGTTGTCCACTCAGGTCTTGGTGGATGCAGGTCTGTAGGCTCCGGTTCCTTTTTAGAGAAACACATGCAGCCATTTACATGATTGGTCACTCAGTGACCCTGGACTTTACAGACTGAGCCTCGCTGCGGCCCTCTTCTGCTTCAGGGGACAAGTTGTGTATTTTCTTCCGTGTAGGGTTTGTCCTAGTAGCTCCAGGCTCTGTGACTGTTTGCAGGACTATGAGGATGACTTTGAGGTCTGTGACGGGGATGAGGACAGCGGGCTGGATGCACTTGAATCAGCAGAGATGGCAGAAGAGCTTCCCCCGGCCAGAAGGAGGGAGATTGAAGAAATTCGGAAAGCCATCCATGCGGAGAACGAACGGGTGGGCGAGCTGTCTTGGAAGCTGTTGGAGAGCCCAGGCCGGGTGGAGCGTGGAAGGGGCACAGGGCCAGGTACGTGAGCCGGGCCAGTTCCCCCGCTCCCTGCTACAGGTGCCTGAGCACTGCTCAGTGCCCATGGGG